TTGACAATTTAAGCCATTTGAAACAATATTTTGTCCTGGTCGGTCACGGAGTCAGTATTTTTTTCAACATAGGCTCATTCTGAAAACGTAGCCTTATATACGTATCTGGAGATCGCAAATTGTGTAGCCAGAAGTACGCAGAGATGTATAGTAATGAAGTAAAACTACTTTACTACTGTACTTGAGTACTAAAAGGCTGTATCTGTACTCTACTGGAGAATTGTTTTTTTTTCTCCTACTTCCACTTTTACTTAAATACATATTTTTTATGATTTTAATACTTTTACTCAGCTAGATTTTTTATGTGCTGCATCGTTACTCGTTACTGGGCGTGTCAAACTTATTAATATCGGTTCAATAATAGATCATAACCAGTTATTACGTACTGACGTCATTTATCTCCTATGCGCGATGTCGCAATACTATGGCAAAGGAGTCGAGGGTGAGGAAACAATGCTCTTACTACAAGGCGGCACAGCACACAAGCCGCTATTTCACTACGGAGAAATGCTGTGAAAACTCCATCTCTGCCCCTCTCTCTCTCAATTTGGACATTTGACCAGCTGGCCTGTTTGTGAGGTAGCTTTTCCTTAGTCAAATACATCTTCATAAACTCTGATATGTAATTCTAAGAATTGCAAAATGGAATATTTGCAAAATTGTTAAATTGTAAGTTTCATGATTTTAATAAACTACTTTTTGGATTAATTAAACTTTAACCTTCAAAATTGAATCTGGAAATAAATGAAATATTGTTCACAGGGCCCTATAAAACTATTTACTTTTGGTATATGGTAAATCTTATATGGTATTGTCCTGCATGTCGTTAATTACAGTAAACTGACTTTCCCAGAATTCCCTATTTGACACTTTATAGTTTACTTTGACATTGCTGTGACTCTTTTTAGTTTTTTTTGTCATCATTGATGTACTGTACATTAGAGTTTTATGTTACAGTACATCTAATAATGATAAATAATGTTTGTTGCATTTCTTTAGTGTCACGTGTGTTGTTGTCGTGATGGTGTTTAGTAGTTGTGTGAATGACACTAAGCACCTTCCACAGTATATATTAGCATGCTTCTCTACCTGCGTATAAGCTGTTTGTGATGAGCACTGGCTCATCATTTGACTGTCTTATCACCATCTGCCTTTGGTGGGGTTTCTGTAACAAAGGTACAAATAATGAAAGACGGTAGTTTTAATATGAATCCTAAGGTATTCATTTTAAGGTTTATCTACTGTATTTTTAAACTGTAAAATCCTGGCATCCACAGCTGCAGATCTTAATGTATATGTTAATTAAAACTGTACAGTGATGTTGTAACATTGAGGAGTTGAGGATACACGTGCAGTTTAATAATAAGAGTAGTCAGACAGGCAATGGTTGATAGATACAAACAGGGGTATAAAGATAATCTAAAGAGAGAGGTCATAAAACTGCAAAAGTTCAGGACAGGCAGCAAGGAATTGACAGGAACAATAAACAATGCAAAGATCAAAACCAAAGCAGGATAAACAGGGAAAATGATTAATAATGCTTTACAAAGAAAAACAAGACTCAGCAATGTGTGTGTGCTTGAGAGGTGAATGTATAAAAATTGTAGTCCGGGTGATCATGAATGTTTTCCAGTGATCTGCAAAGCCTAGATCGCTGGTAATCATGACAGATGTATTTACAGACTAATCCACTATAGAGGGGTTCAAAATTAAGTTTGCCATTCACTTCTTTGGTATGCCACCTTAATTTACAGAAAAACATGGATTTCAAAGTAGCTCCAAGTGTATATGTTTGATTTATACACATTTACAGTCACTTGGTGGTGACCCTAAACATGTTTATCAATAATTTAATAAATAATTGTTCATTTTTAACAACTAAATTAATGAGGCTAATTAAATTAACTCTGAAATCTGAACTCACAATATATTTTTTAAAAGCAATATCACAGTGTTTTTTGTAATGTATATAGACAGTTGTATTTGTATCTGTATTTGTTTTCGGTAAGGACATGATGGGATTTTTAGTTTTCAGGCAAAGCATCTTTTAAATTGGAATGTGTACATTATTAAGGTAACTTCATGGTTCAACATAAAATAGCAGTGACATTTGTGTAAAGTGTTCCATGCACAAATGAGACAGTAACGCCCTGCACCCCTTCGAGTACTCACTTTAAGTGCTCTGCCCTTTGGAGTGAGCAGGACACAGTGGTGTTCACTATGAAATTGAATTCACCCATATTCTCTCTCCCTCAATCTCCTCTTCAGTCCATCCACTCAGTGATTAGAGTCGAGTCAGTGTCCTGACATAACCAGTTAAATGGATCAGATGCCATTTTGAGAGTCTCAGTAAGTGCCCCCTGCAGCAGTTGTCCACTGCAGAGAGAGAGCGCGTATGTGACCCACTAATCGCATATTAACTGCTAACACCGCTTTAATTGGTTGCCGATAAGTAGCCTGCACCATGTCTGCTAAAGCTAAAGGCTAATTTTAGCCTATTATCTTTTGGCATAGGTTCATTGGGTTGAAGATCTGACTCTAATTCTAGCACTGTGTTGGTTTTGAGAGCGCCGGAGGTTTTAACATCAACGCACATACATAGCCAGATGTTCAGCGATGTAGATGCTGAGACTTAGTCTTTTCTCATCCCTTCTGCCCCGGCTCTATTTTTAAAAGCAGCGTCTCGTTAAAGCCTTTAAGGCTAATCAGGCTGAGTTCGACCACGCTTCACACTTGCCCAGCGCACCTGCGTTTGTCCCACATATTTGCCCGCAGAAAGCCGCCATTTGGCCTGCAATTGAGTAGGTTAATCCCAACGCTAGCAAAACATCAGGCTAGAATTAAGCCAGCGTTTAGCCTGAATCAATCCAAGATTGAGATCGACAAAAGCGAGTATCATTAGGCTAGTGTGTTATCAGCATCAGGCCAAGATTAACCCAGTCTTCAGCCAATGTTAGTCTTGCAATTAGCAATATTTGTCCCGCCATTCATCCAGCATACACCCAACAATCAGCCAAGTTCTGCTCGCCTTTAATCTCTTCCAGTCCAAAGCTTGGCCAGAGTCAAGCCAGCATTTGCCCAGCATTCACTAAGCATTAGCGCTCCATTCAAGCTGCCATTAGCCTAACATTCAGACAGCACTTCGCCCAGAGTTCATCCAGCACCGGTCAGCATTAAAAAGGTCATCGATTATAACCTAAGTGGTAATTATTGGGTAAAGTGGAGCATGGGCCGCCCAGGGCTGAATTATCATACAGCTAGACTCACACTGGCATTACATCTGGCCTTTATGCACACACACACACACACACACACACACACACACACACACACACACACACACACCCAGAGACCCACAGACACATTTCCAATATAATGAGTTAAGTTGTCATCTGTTAGATGCCTGAAGGGCTTTACATGGTTTGCCTCAAACCCTAATCTCCACTAACAGTACGCAGCCTATATAAAACCACAAAACTTGATGATGGTTTTAAAAAGTAAGTAGTATTTGGCTTCACAAATCCTACCATAATGTCATAATTCTAGAATGGCTGTGCTTGGTGCTTGCCAAGGGGGTTGGTGTGTCATTTCTAGGGTATTCTGAATGGTTCTCAGGATAGTATCCAGTTGCTTGGTTGTTATATGAGGGGTTGCCAGGGTGTTGCTGTGGAGTTGCTAGTATTTTCTGGTTTGTTGTCAGGGTGTTGCTGTGCAGTTGCTAGTATTTTCTGGTTTGTTGTCAGGGTGGTGATGTGCAGTTGCCAGGGCATTCTAGGTCATTCTCATGGTGTTGTGGTGCATTTGCTTAGCTGCTGTGGGGGTTGCAGGTTGTGTTACTCTGCAATTGCCAGATTATTGTGAATGGTTGTTGTGAATGGGTGTTGCCATATGATGTTGGTAGAGTATATTTTGGGCTAATCATCAGGGTGTTGCTATATGTTTGCGAAGGAGTTCTGAGTCATACTCAGCCTCTTCTCAGGCAGCTACTAGGGTGTTCTGACTGGTTTCCTGGCGGTTGCATTGCTAAGTCTTGTTTTTGTATCCACCACAGTGTAGATACAATTTAAATTGTATTTATATTTAAGACATATTTATTTATTTAAGGTCATAGTATAAGTCAGATGATTTGTTTCAGTTGTCTGTATCATACATAACGTAGACCACGAACATGCCAAAATGTCATACTTATACGCCTTACTTACTTACTCCCTGGGCTTTTTTATATATCGAAGATGATATTTAGCCACACCATATTGGTGTTTCGTAACATCTAGATTTTATGACGTGGGTTGTTAGCAAAAACGCTCAACCCTCAACCTGGAGGACCAGTACCTACACACATACACTACGGACAATTAAGCTGACCCAATTCACCCATAGCGCATGTCTTTGAACTGTGGGGGAAACCGGAGCACACGAAGGAAACCCACGTGAACACGGGGAGAACATGCAAACTCCATACAGAAATGCCAACTGACCCAGCAACCTCAAACCAGCAACCTTCTTGCTGTGAGGCAACAGCGCTACCCACTACGCCACCGTGTCGCTTTTATTCCCCTTAAAGCTTATAAATATTAGATATGAGTTTTTGTAAACACTAATTTCATATCATCTGTTAAAGTGTGTTGTTTCACTTTACAAGCTTGTAAAGATCAGCATATGTCACATATTTTAATAGTCATCATACCTGTTCAATTTCATTCCTCTATCTTTTCTTGCAAATTGTGGTCTTTGATTTTCTTTTCTGGCGACTCCTGCAGTGTGAGGTGGAGGCAATGATAATGATGCTATTTTCATTTTTTTTTCTCATCAAGAAATACACAGCGCTGCTCTCAAAGATCATGATGATGGGGACGAAGCATCTAATTTTCACCTAAGTCTCGCTCTCATTTTCTCCCTGTCTCCTTCTCCCTCCGTCTCTAACTATATCTCATTTCATGATGTCATCTTGTTTTTTTTTACTCTAATATCTGCTCATTTATCTCTGTCCTGTTGCCCAGATGATGACCCCTTTCAGCCGGTGACCCAAGATGAGACGGTGGCAGTGGGCGGGGTGGTAACCCTGACCTGCGGCGTGAAGGAAAATGATAACTCCTCCCTCCAGTGGTCCAACACGGCCCAGCAGACCCTGTACTTCGGAGAGAAAAGAGGTGGGTGTCACCTATTTTAAAACCTACTGTAATCTACTGACCCTCGTGTTCTTATAAAGCTGGTGAGGATGCATAAGGACAAGGCTGGCAATAACCCACTCAATATGATGGCTGGTTCCCCCTAATCAAATTATGGTTAACAAAATCTGCAGCAACTGCATGATGCTTTCATGTCAATATGAAGCAAAATCTCTGAGGAATATTTCCAGTACCTTGTTGAATCTATGCCATGAGGGATTAAGGCAGTTCTTTAAAGCAAAAAAGGGTCCATCCGGTACTAGTAAGGTGTACCTAATAAAGTGGCCGGCGAGTATAGCATTGATCACAAATAATTTTAACGCTCTGCTTCTTTATAGTGTGTATACTGTATAGTATGTAAACTGTTTACATGTTCCATATTTAGTTTGGTCTCTACCTGAAACACAAACAAAGATGTTTTGTAGCATGTCCTGGCTGCTCTTTTCCATTACAGTTTCAATTTTATACATATTTATTGAGCTAAAAGTCATAGCTAATAGTTTGTTAGTAGTCAGAATTGTACACAAAGATAAAGTGTGACCGAAAAATCATGCATGTATGAAGATACTCAAATACAAGAATGAATGTAAGACAGTTGTGTGCTTCTATTCTATAGTAAATTATATGGCTGGGAGTCTAAGCAATCAATCAGTTCCAAAGTGTAAAACAGTCCCTGATTGGTCTTTACTCGTAGTCCCTAACCATTATAGCCACCTACCTGAGATCCAGTTTCGATTGATTGAACTTCAGGCTGTCCTCTAAAGACGTTAGAAAGCACTGCATCATCACTGCGACATGATAAGATCCTGTTTTTAATTAGCAAATTACTCCATAAGAATTCTTTCAATGTTTGTGCATTCAGGCTCATATGAATTGAAAACACTATTGTTTACTACTGTAATGTTTGGCTCAAATGCCATATCTTTTTTTTTTCTTAGGCAATAAATAGAGTGGATTAACAGTACATTTTAGTAACAAAACAGCTATCAATAATATATAAGCATGTACAAAATGCATTCCATAAAACACCCACCCTTCCCACTAAGAAATAATTGAATTGATAATGGAATAAATTAAAGTTTATACTTATTTAACTGGAACACTGTAAAAAAATGATGGGTTCCCAAAATTAAGTTAATCTAATAATTGTTTCAAATTTAAGTGGATTGAACATAAAACAGTTAAGTTGCCACCTCCCCACCCCCCCACCCCCCCCCCCCCCCAAAAAAAAAAGAATTGTGTTGTTTCACCTCATTTTAAATAATAATAAATAATTTTCTATTTTTTAATTATTCATATAAATAAATATTTTTCGAAAATAACTACTCCTGCCTGAGGTAATCGGCTCATAATCCTTATAGAGGATATACACTCACTGGCCTCTTTTTTTAGGTACACCTGTCCAACTGCTTGTTAACGCAGATTTCTAATCAGCCAATCACATGGCAGCAACTCAATGCATTTAAGCATATAGACATGGTCAAAACGACCTGCTGCAGTTCAAACCGAGCATCAGAATGGGAAAGAAAGGTGATTTAAGTGTCTTTGAACGTGGCATGGTTGATGGTGCCAAAAGGGCTAGTCTGAATATTTCAGAAACTGGGTACAACTCCTGTCAGCTGAGAACAGGAAACTGAATCTACAATTCATACAGGCTCACCAAGGTTGGACAATAGAAGATTGGAAAAATGTTGCCTGCTCTAATGAGTCTCAATTTCTGCTGCAACATTTGGATGGTATGGTCAGAATTTGACGTCAACAACATGAAAGTATGGCTCCATCCTGCCGTGAATCAATGGTTCAGTACGGTTGTGATGGTGTAATGGTGCGGAGGATATTTTCTGTGCACACTTTGGGCTCATTAGTACCAATTGAGCATGGTGTCAACAACACAACCTACCTGAGTATTGTTGCTGACCATTTCCATCTCTTTATGACCTCAGTGTACCCATCTTCTGATCGCTACTTCCAGCAGGATAACGCACCATGTCATAAAGAGCGATTCATCTCTCAGACTGGTTACTTAAACATGACAATGAGTTCACTGTACTCAAATGGCCTTCACAGTCACCAGAGCTCAATCCAATAGAGCACCTTTGGGATGTGGTGGAATGGGAGATTTGCATCATGGATCAACTGCGTGACGCTATCATGTCAATATGGACCAAAATCTCTGAGGAATGTTTCCAGTATCTTGTTGAATCTATGCCATGAAGGATTAAGGCATTTCTGAAGGCAAAAGTGGGTACAATCCGGTACTAGTAAGGTGTACAGTACCTAAAAAAGCGTCCAGTGAGTGTAGCTTTGATCAAAATTTTAAGGCTCTGCTTCTTTATAATGAGTATACTATATATATAGAATGTATACTGTTTAGTTTGGTCTCTACCTGAACCGCAAACGAAGATGTTGTGTTCCATGTCCTGGCAAGCTCTTTTCCATCACAGCTTCAATTTGTCTATAAAAGTGAAAAAGAGCTGAAGCTGCCTATGGCTCCAAAAATATGAGAGGTCTACATGTTTTAAACTCTCTTCTGAAGCAGTTATGTGAAAAGGAAAGTCATTTATTTATTGAGTAGCAAACTCTCATTTGGTCACGCTGAATCCTGTTTACTAATCTCTCTTTTTCAAAATCCAATAAGCATTTAAGTACATTTATTTATATATTTTAGTAGACTATCTAGTTTGCCGCACACACACACACACCAAAAAAAGGTGTCAAATTACAGATAAAGCGGGTTGTAAGCGGCGATTCACATTGACTTTAGCAAATGGACATTTTATGACCTCTCTTTTGCGCAATCGCTTTTAAGTCTGTAGTCTGTGATTGCAATTACTTGCCATTTCGCTCCGAACAGGAAATTGATTTTCGTCGGACCCTTCCTTAGAGATTTTCCCAGAGCTCTTAGTCCCTCAACACCGAACACAAGAAAGAATGCGCGAGACACCTTGCTGAAACATTAATATCACCCTAAAAACAAACAGGTGGCTCCGTGATAACAGAAAACGAGGTGATGGAGAGAGGGAATGGAGGGGTGACCTGATTAAAGAGGAAAACAAAAGAAGGCGACAAGAGAGCACCGTGAAGAAGCAGAAATAGAAAACAGTCTATTGAATGAAAAGGATGGATGGAGCGTTAAAAGAGGGGAGAAGAGAAATGCAGACACAAACGTGGCGCCTTAAAGCGATATAAATGTTCTTTATATACGGAGGAAGAGTTTCCAATTAAGTCCATTCGTCTGTCCCAATTGCAGTCAATCTGAATTTAGTGTGGTCTATGCTTAAAACAGGACAAAAAACAATTAGCGGTGAGAAATAAACTCAATTCGTGATAAATTCTTTGAAAACAAATCTCATTATCTCACACAATTTTGCTTCTCAAGTACATTTATCTCGTTTGAAGGATGCTTGGATATTTGGAAAGCCAAATACGGATTTTTAGCAGTGTGGAAACGAGAGCTCAGTTAAAGGTGAACAGTAGCACACAAGTGTGAAGAGATGAACAGATTAGTGTGGGGGGACGATGGATGGGTGGATGAGCGAAGAGAGATAAAGTGAGGAATGACAAAGGAGGAGTGTGTGCATGAAAGAGCAGGATGGAGGACAGAGGAACAGCAGCTGATGAAGACAAATTAAGTGCCCTTCACTTACTGATAAAGCATGAAGCGCGCGCGCACACACAGTTACTGTAAATCTGCTTTAGACACAAGTTCTCCTTTTGTTCAAAGGTGAAGTGTGTGATTTCTGCACCATTAGCAAAAATAATAACTTTTCAGACAAGTTTTCCCCATCATTGCCAGCCTGTTGGGTCAGACAAACACAGACGGGGGAGGGGCTTTCTCATTCAGAGCAACCGATTGGACAAAATCTGTGAAGTGCATGATGAGTCATGAAGATGACAGTGCTGTTATTTAAAATAAATTTACATTAAAATAAAATATAATTGTTTTCTAAAAACTTACCAGAAATAAAATACTCGTAGCAGTGCGATATGGCTGTATATCAGCACTGGTGGGATGTGTGCATTGGTTCGAGGCTGCAGGCTGAGTGCCTTAGGGCCTATTCACACTATGCCATCCGTACCGTGCCGTGGCCCGTTTCCCGGATCGTTTGAGAAGTGTGAGTGCGCTGAATCGGGCTCAAGCACGGTTTACTTGGCCGGCCCTGGCCGGTTGGAAGAGGTGTGCCTGAGCGCGGTTCACTTGGGCTTTGGCACTGTAAGCTTGTGTGTGAGTGCAAAACGCGCCGAAGCCCGAAACTGAAAGCGAGACGTGACTTTTAAAGGACTGTTTCATATAGATTTATTAATCATTCTTACTGTTCAGTGAATGCAAACTGCCGTAGTTTATTAAAGACGACAACTTCTCACAGCACGACAGCTGCGCGGCTTCAGCAGACCTCCTCATTCCTGCAGCACGAGAGCTTTATGATTGTTTATGAGCGCCAAAAGTGGCGGATCTGTTCGGCGAAATATCTGACTGCGTGTCACCGCATCCCTAAGGACTGTTTGGTGAAATATTTGACTGCATGTCACTGCATAACAAACGACTGAAACGATATACATGTACCTAAAGAAATCTCCACTGTGCTGCTGAGTGAGAGAGTGCTTCTCACTGAACAGCGCAGCAGCGATGACGTAAGCGTGCCGAGGCCCATTTGTGGTGTGAGTGCGGGCCGTCGGGGGAGACGGGAGGGGGGACAAGCGTGCTTTGGCCCGGTTCGAGGCAACTGTACCTAGTGTGAGTATGACCTTAGTGTCCCACCATGATGGTATACAACCATATCGCACTGCTACGAGTGTGATATTCCATTTATACAACAGTTCGATAACATAATCGTGTATATCAAAAACACAGAGTCTCAAAAAGCCTTTTGTAAGAGGAACTACTTTCATCCACCATTCTTTCACATCTGCAGCTGACGTCAGAACAGCAGAAGCCGTTGCTACTTCACACACGTCACCTTAGAGCTATTATTTATTATGATATTTAAAGGCTTAACTAAGTATTTTATTATATTATTTGAATTATATCATTTGAATGATTCTCTAGCATAATGTCAAATGATGACAAAGCTGGTGATTTTGCTAACTATTTAAGATTAGAAGTTTGATTGGCATGTAACGCCATCAATTAGGAGATCACAATAATTAACCCTGAAATAGCCAAAGCAAAGTAACCACTAGCAGATTACTATAGTATAAATACAGCACTACAAAATATAAGAGAGAGATCGACTTATCTGTTCTGTGATGATTTGTTCAGCTGTAGTTTAAATCTTAAGCTATGAAAATCCTGAGTTTTTCCGGAGTATGTCTGATAATATTTTTTCTTCTGGAGAAAGTCTTATTTGTTTTATTTCGGCTAGAATAAAAGCAGTTTTTAATTTTTAAAATACCATTTTATGGACAAAATTATTAGTCCCTTAAAGCTATTTTTTTCGATAGTCTACAGAACAAACCATCATTATACAATAACTTGCCTAATTACTTTAACCTGCCTAGTTAACCTAATTAACTTAAGCCTTTAAATGTTACTTTAAGCTGTATAGAAGTGTCTTGAAAAATACGTAGGAAAATATTATCTACTGTCATCATGGAAAAAATAAAATAAATCATTATTAGAAATGAGTTATAAAAAATATTATGATTACAAATGTGTTGAAAAAAATCTGCTCTCCGTTACAGGGGGATAATAATTGGGGGGGCTAATAATTTTGACTTTAACTGTTTGCAGATGTGAATGAATGGTGGAAGAAAGTAGTTCCTCTTACAAAAAGGTTTTGAGACTCTCCGTATTTAACTTTCTTTTTGATATACACGATTATGCTGTTAAGCTGTTATATAAACACATTATCACACTCGCAGCAGTGCAATGTGGCTGTATATCGTCACTGGTGGGAGACAAAGGCACTCGGCAATGCACTGCTCCCACTAGTGCCAATAAACAGCCATATCACACTGCTACTCTTGTGATATTATATTATATATATATATATATATATATATATATATATATATATATATATATATATATATATATATATATATATATATATATATATAATGTCAGAATTGTGAGATATTTTATTTTAATGTTGAGAATAAAACATAATAAAACACAATAAAATAAAACAGCTTTCTGATCAAAAAGTCAGAATTTCCTTTTTTATTTATTAATCAGTGGTGAAAACCATAAAAGAGAGAGACTGTATATTTAATTATATAAATCTCTCAGAAGTTAACTTTTTTGAAAGCATAGCATATAAATCTATATTAGCATATAGATGACATTAAAGCTTAGAGACATTTTTTATTTATATTTTATCTTATTTCAAAGTGGAAATTAGGAAATTAGCTTTCTCCTGTAAGATGTAAAATAATACATTTTAACCCATTTTAAGAATGGTTGATCCCTGAGCACTTTAACATGATTGTTCAATGCTCATCCGCTTGGCTTGCTCTAATGAACAATACTGTTAGCCAATCAGAACGTCTGTCATTTACATAATAGATTCCTAAATGTACATTACAAGGCTTGGTTGAACACAAACCTAATCTGAAGCCTGAGGGTCTGCACTGTCATCTCTCTGGGTGGAATCCGTGTAGTCAATATCCAGTGTATCTACAAGGGTTGCTATAGTAATAATGTCAGCATCAGCACGATGCCAAGAGACTTTCTCATACAACAACTAAGAGTAGCTGTCAGTAGAAAGAGAGCACGGAGAACTGGAAAGTTTGCCTGTTCTCGTGTCTGTCATCTCTCTGTGCTGCTGAACTCACCAGATCTGGAAGAGAACAGAGGCGTTTTATGCATTCATGCATACAGTACACTATCCAAAACTGCTGACTCGTTACGCTGTTCACTACATGGTGAACATCACATGGCTCGCTAGATGCAAGCAAAAAGGAAAGTATTTGGATCAGACAATATTGCGCACTCTGCATGATGTTGTAAACGTCACATTGCTGAATAATAAATGAAAAAAAAAAGCTTTGAAATCTGATCTGACCTTTCAAACTAAGGGGTGTACTTAAAAAAACCCACACTTTAATTGGATCTCAGAGGCATTGGAACACTGTGCGCATGGGGTTTGTACAGATAAGACTGCTTATGTTCTGTTTTGTTGTTGCTGTCGTCGTTTTGCTTGTGATACAGCAAGGAAATGTAAATGTTACAGAGAGAGATGGTGGAAAGCAATCACATAAATCTAAATCACAATGGTTTTGCTGCCAGATATTTTGACTTGTGTTATCAGCCGACTTCAGGGGAGGGAAATAAAATGCTAAAACTTGTAGTGTACGGCACCTATGTAGTGTATGTGTTCCTCTTATCGGTTCTGTCTTTTTCAGCACTGAGAGATAACCGTATCCAGTTGGTAAAGTCCACGGCCACGGAGCTGATAATCACCATCGGGGATGTTCAGCTGTCAGATGATGGAGAATATACCTGTTCCATTTTTACCATGCCTGTACGGACCGCACGAGCCACAGTTACTGTACTCGGTAAGTGTGTATGTGTGTGTGTGTGTGTGTGTGTGTGTGCCTTTTCTCTCAGAGTGGGAGCTGTCAGTAGAAATTGCTATTGCTACAGTACATCAAGCCTGTAAGTAGTGATGTGCTCATTCCGATTGCCAATTTGTTTATAAGCAACAGGCCAATTCCAATATCTATTTGTGGTTATTTATTTATTTATTTTTACTTTACATAAATCGTAAAATTGATTCATCCAGTACTTTAAGATAAAAACAACAAAATTTGGCCAAAATGCCAATTCAGTGGACATTATTTGTGTAATTATGAGAGCATGTACACAGAGACAAGGTTCTCTATCTATCTATCTATCTATCTATCTATCTATCTATCTATCTATCTATCTATCTATCTATCTATCTATCTATCTATCTATCTATCTATCTATCTATCTATCTATCTATCTTTCTATCTATCTATCTATCTATCTATCTATCTATCTATCCATCCATCCATCCATCCATCCATCCATCCATCCATCCATCCATCCATCCATCCATCCATCCTTCCATCCATCTATCCATCCATCCATCCATCCATCCATCCATCCATCATCTTTCCATCCATCCATCCTGTCATTTGAATATATTGTTGTCTATTGTTCTATTAGTGTCTACCATTGTCATTATCCATTCATTTCTCCATCCGTCGTTCTATTTATCATTATCATATCTATTCTATACCTATCTATCCATTCATCCATCCATCTATCCATTCATCTATCTTTCCAATCATTGTCATTTAATTAATCATTTGATTATATTGCTGTATATTGTTCTATCAGTGTCTGCCATTGTCATCCATCCATCCATCCATCCATCCATCCATCCATCTGTCGTTCTATTATCATTCTGTCGTTCTGTTTATCAGTTTGCCATTGGATTCTTTGTCTGTTGTTTTATCTATTCTATACCTATATACATATCCATCCATCCATCCATCCATCCATCCATCCATCATCTTTCCATCCGTCCATCCATCCGTCCATCCATCCATCCATCCATCCATCCATCCATCCATCCATCCATCCATCCATCCATCCATCCATCCATCTATCTATCTATCTATCTATCTATCTATCTATCTATCTATATATCTATCTATCTATCATCTATCTGTCTGTCCGTCCATCTGTCCGTCCGTCCATCCATCCATCCCTATCCTTTCACTTCACACATCTATGACTACCATGGGTGCCTTTTTTTATGGCCTTTCAATTAATATATTTTGTCTCCTCTAAGAGCATGGTTTTTCTATTAGATGATTACGAAAACTCTCAAAGTGATCTTAACCACAAATGGCCAGTTATTGAAATGGTGATGTAACAGACACCATTAGAAAATTAAACTATTGCTGTCATTCAGTCAAACACTGGCATGGGACTGATACTGATGGTTCCTGCTGTTAAACATTTAAAATTTAAATATTAAAACAGTGAATTTTCAAATCATGCATTCGCAATGGTGCTTTGGAGGTCAGCGTAGCTGGCAGGTTCAGCGAGTTCTTATGGTGAATGATTTGTCTGTCTGATTCAGACAGATAAATAAGAGTTATTTGTTTATAAGTCAGACTACACTGTTTGTTTGTTTGTTTTTGTGTGTAGGGTGATGGCAAATCAATGTTTTCTTGTAGGCTCCAGACATTTTGTGACCTTTATTGCTGCCAGTGTTACCAAGTTTTGTTAGAGATCCTGCTTGTGCCGCAACCGTTTTACCCACTGATAAGCGATGACATTCTGTTGCGAGTGAGATACATCTAGGAGCGTAGAAAAAGTGGAATACTAGTTTGCACCACATGAATCGGTTTGGTACAAAAGAAAACACAGCAATGAGCAGACTGCACCAGTCATTTACATTAGCATTTAACATGTTGTAAAATCCAGAGAGAAAAGTTTAATAAAAAAAAAAAAAAACTTCTTCTAGCTCGAAGCCAAATGAAACAGCACTGACATTCTTCAAAATACTCAGTAGAATTCAGCTGAAAACACAGTCCAACAATGAACATGTCCGAAGGCTTTTTATTGCACATTTCCCATAATTTCTTAAAAAGTCATGGAACATCAGGCATTTTTTATTTGATGTTTTAAATTTTATTTTCCATTTTTCAAAATATCTTTTTTCTATTCCATATTTGGGCGAAGCAGTGGCGCAGTAGTTAGCGATGTCACCTCACAGCAAGAAGGTCGCTGGGTCGCTGGTTCTAACCTCAGTTGGCGTTTCTGTGTGGAGTTTGCATGTTCTCCCTGCCTTCGCGTGGGTTTCCTCCGGGTGCTTCGGTTTTCCCCACAGTCCAAAGACATGCGGTACAGGTGAATTGGGTAGGCTAAATTGGTCGTAGTGTATGAGTGTGTGTGTGTGAATGTGTGTGTGGAGGTTTCCCAGAGATGGGTTGCGGCTGGAAGGGCATCCGCTGCGTAAAAACTTGCTGGATAAGTTGGCGGTTCATTCTGCTGTGGCGACCCCAGATTAATAAAGGGACTAAGCCGACAAGAAAATGAATGAATGAATTCCATATTTTAAGATTGTGCATGCCGATTAGACCACTTTCAGGTCCATTTTAATACGTATATGCTCATCAACTGGCAGTCACTTAAGTCAAATGCAGTCAGCAGACTGTACTTAGTAAGTAAAGCTAACATTAAGGGTAAAGTACATTTTAAGAGCTTTGGCTAATGCTAAATGTATTGCTAAATGTAATGTTTATAAAAACAAGTATTGAGCTATCAAACTTGGGGAAGGAAGCACTTTGCACCAACATTAACAGATTTATTTAAATCAAAACCTAAGGTAAATCTGTCCATCATTGTTCTCATAATATGAATTGAAGGTATTTCAATGTGTTATTATTTTAGCATATTATTTCAATTATATATAATTTAAAAATACCAGGCTTTAACTTTGGTTGAGAAGTGGGGGACACTAAATTGAAGAAAATTTTTTTCATTTTAAATCCCATTACCTGCATTCACATATATAGGGACTATGCTGTACAAAAACAAGGTTAAAACAGGCTGATTAAACACATTTAATTTCAAACTTACCTAAAAAATAAATAAAGAAAAATAATTAAAAAAAAAGAAAAAAGAAAGAAAAAAGTGTGCTGAATCATAATTTTATAATATCAGTTGCAGATTGGCATCAGGAAAATTAAATTCTATTGAAACTATATGAAAATATTGATGTCATTTTATTAATTGTAAAATAAAAACCAAACTATTAGTCTGTGCAGCGCAAAGCACTGAACATTAAATGAACATCTGCAAAATTGGAAACCAATTGCAACAAGCCATTTGAGTTCAAAAACTAATCTATGAGTACTGTGAACTTACTCTATTTAAGTTAAAATAATGAGGTATTTAATTAACTCATTACCTTCAACACTGAGTTCAAAACTCTTTTCAAGTTAGTAGAATTAAATTTCAGTAAATCCTGAGTTAACTACACTCATTTCATTTAGTAAAGTTGACTGTTGGGTTTTACAGTGCAGGTGTAGACATATTTCGTAATGGAAAATATCATTATTCGGAGGTAATATACTGAATCCATGTTGTCATTAAAGTCGTCTTCTGCTGCTGCCTAAGGTTTGCTCATACCTGCTCATTAGAACTTTCACAGAGTTATTTTTAGAGCTGGAATGCAAAGTTATTAGAAACAGACTCTCTCTGTCCATCCATGGCACTCATATAAAAAATCTGAAAAAAATAAAGGAGATACAAAGGGGATTTTGAAAAGTGGGAGAAACATGTCTCCCATTTCCCCAGTGGAAGTTACACTCTTCAATATATAGGCAAAACAGTGGCCTGTTTTTCATGAGATGTCAAGGAAAATCCAGCCTGATCTCACGAGAAGTATTTTACATTTTGTCAGTTTAGTGGCTAATTCGTACGAGTTCAGTCTTACACGTCTTACATGAATGAGATCGTATAAATTAATATAGTTTTGCGACTAAATCAATGTTACGAATTGTCATGAGATTGTGATGGAAATTCAACTTTTTAGCCAGTGAGGTCAGGTATTTTGATATTTGGCTAAAAAGTGGGAACCCTGATTCTACAAATCACCAGCAATTAGCATGGTTTTACCAACAGGAGCCATTGGCAGGAAAAGTGGGATGTTAATATCAACTTATGTTATAATACGAATGTTTTAAATGTATATAATAATGTTAATAAATCATATTACTGTGCTTTGAGGTTTTTATTTTTTATAACAATGTCATAGAAACATAAAGTAAGTCTCACACTTCCACTACTCTCAACTCTCAATCTGCTGTCAAATGTGCATTTCTCAGAGACAAATCTTGATATATTGAATAATGTTAATATTACATGTACCATGCTACCAAATCAGGTGTTAGTGCCACCATCTGCAAAATTTAGTGGCTCTCAAATGTTATTCTGGAGCCCCGACTTGCCATAATTTCTCAGCACAGTCACTTTTGATCAAATTTTTATTCACATTCAATTCAGACCGAAAGGTCACACTGAAAAGCTCACCAAGCCCACAGCACTCTGCAGTATACTGTATATATACTGCGGACTATATATATTTGTGTAACAGTACACAAAAATGACAGTTCAATGCATACTGTTGTTTAGAAGTCACATTGCGGTTTGCTTTTAGTGCTACAGGGAAAAAAACAAACCATGATTTTTGTTGGTATTATTTTTTATTTAACTGGTTTAGTGAACAAACTGTCTTTAAAAAAAGTCTGTCAGTGTTGCAGCATATACACAGCAATTTCTGAAAAAAAGCTGAAATGCTTGGATGCAAAATATGTAGAAAAATATTTGAATTAATTATCACACTTTTGTTCTTATCTGCTTCATCTATTTGATGCACACGAGCGCACCAGTTCTTGTTTATGTGCTTGCTGTCAGAATCATTTTTTCTGTAAAATGGAAAAGGCTTGCATTAATTTGTAACACTTACAGACAGGTATACAACCAAATACAGGATGTAAGTTGTGTGCTG